ATTCTTATGTTAAACTCAGATTGAAATTTAAGAAGCGATTACGTACGTGATTTTGGTGGCGATACTAGGTGGGTTGGGTTTTACTAAACGCATTAAGAAAAATATTTCTCGCTTCATTGACATCCCTATCTGTCTTTAGCCTGCAATTTCCATATTTAAATAGTTTCAAATCGCCTAAAATATTATTTATCTTTCCACACATTCCACAAGTTTCCAAACTTGCGTATTAAAAGTCACTGAAACTTATAGTGCAGGGTTGGCAAGTGACTTTTAAATGACATAAATGACAATGTGATATTGTAATTGGTGGAGCACTCCGTTGGCTCCATTTTAAAATAGTAATACTCCAGAATATTACTATTAAAACGGAGTCAACGGAGTGCTCCATTAACAACCCTAGTCATTTGTCCATTTGTCATTTAGAAGGTAAATGATAAATGACAAAAATAGTTTATATTTAAAAGTGTTACAAGTGTTTGTAATAACAATATCCTGATCCGTTGGGCATTAGTGGAAACTTCGTTTCCGCTTGTACACATACGGTCTTGATATAGTAATCGGGGTAATTTAGGATTAATTAAATCTTAAATCACCCAAATTGACACCAAGTCCTAATGATTTCGGGATTCCGTAATTAGATTTTGCCGATTTTTAGCTCGTTGGAATCTTCTCATTGAGACAGTCATTTTGGTGGTAAAATCATCCAAAACGGGCCAGTAGATTTACTGTTAAAGTTTGTTACTTTTGAATGACAAAAATAACAAATGAACTATTTCATTTGTCCTAATTTGTCATTTGTCACAAATTTAAATGACATTGTCATTTGCCAACCCTGTTATAGTGTGACCAAGTCATCAACATTCTCGCAATTCTTGATGTGATCTTTCTCCTGATACTATCTACTATCTCTTGGATTCGAATATCTGAGAATAGTTATCGCACAAATATTTTGCGAGATTTCTAATTCAGTCGAATATCTAAGTATCTTTTTATGTATACTAAATCTTTTAAAAGTTCTGCCTGTAAAAATATCTATATCACTTTTAAACTTATCAATATTCTTACATAACTTGAATATTCTTTTGGCATCGTTCACACCCCCATTTTATAACCTTACTACCCGAATTGTAAAATGGATAAAATATTCTTGTTTAAAATAATAATCGATAAAATGAATAACAAGACAATAGATTTGTATTGTTTACATACCGTTGGCAACACAAATTTAATAAATAGAAAATTGTCGGGTAAATAAATTTGTTTGTTTAAATACAATCATATATAATATGGTTTCACACTACATGATTTTTCTTTAATTTACTCTGACAATTTAACGTAAATGTTTAGTTGGCTGGAACTGAGGAGAGCGAAGTGAAGGCTTTCAAGTCATACTTTACGAAATTTTCGAAAATGACCGGTTCCCGGTTCGACTGAACCAAATTTTAGGTTGCGTATCCAGAAATTTAATCTAAATTAGGCTCAACATTTGGATACCAAGCTAAATTAGGTTCAACGTTTGGGTACCAAGATCTTGGTTTAAAATACAATAGCTGACTCTTAACTGTATATTAACTGACTTTTAATAAGCGAGTAGTTTATTCATTAGAATAAGAATTATTACTCTGTATCAAACGAGTACCATAGTCATGACGCGGTCCGACAATGGTGCAATTAAAAAATACGAGAAAAAAGAGGAACTTACATTATATACCAACATACAAATTGAATATAAATAAAAAATTTATTTGATTACGAATTCGGGTCAAATAATTTCTTTATTATTTTAATCATTCAATTAATTGATTGTTTTTGATTACGTATTTTACAGATCCACCTTCTTTTAGGTAAAGGAGTTGATAGATTGACGATAGATTTATCATTGCATTTTATTTCATTATTGTTTAGTTATTCAAGTGAGTTCTTGATCCAATCCTATACGTTAGCTTTCATTGTTCAAAGTTATGGCGGTTTTGTATCGATAATTCATGTAATTATCATCTATTTCTAATTTACAGTTGTTAAACATTAAACAAAAAAAGTGCCGAGTAAATTTCTCGATAACTTATTTAGATAATTAGACGTCTATTTACGCAACGGAAATTTACTATTTTCACAATTGGTCATTAGCCGTAAGCAGCGTGAAAATAATATCTTTGTCGATTAACAATACTGTAGGGTTCAGCATTTAATAGTTATAGTTGACAATAATTTTGCTGACAATTTACTAACAATATATGCCAAAGGTGACGTAATCATTTTTCTTTACATTTTTTCTTTACTGATTTTCAGTACCAAGCCACTTCTTCATTTCTTCATGAAAAGGTTAATAAAGAATAGCTTAATATAAATAAAAGTTGGGATTGAGTTTAAAATGTTACGTAGTGATTTTGGAAATGCTTGGTTCATAATTAAACATGCAGATTTTTTTTTTAAATGAAATCACCAATAACAAAGTTTCGGCCTTATTCGTTCTAAGATTAATTAACTCTGAACGTTAACGTTAAAATTTAGCCGATTCGTAAAGCATTTGGCATATGATCATCAACTTAACAACATTACACAATGTTACAATATTGCCTTTTTGGTCGACGTGCATAAATTTAAGTGCATACGCAAGTACGTACGATTGTTCGTTAGTACGTACGTACGTACAAAGTCTAGTTTAAAAGCAAAATTTGTCTTCTCCTGGGCAATTATTATTATATTATTATATTATATCAATCAATCAATCATTAGTTTTCTATTTTAAGAAAATTATTTAAATTTTCTTACTTTTTTTTGATACTTTGATTCGAATACTTCAATCACTATGAGTATCACGTCGTCTAAAGCCGAACAGCATTCAAGGACTTCTGTAAAATCCCTAAAACTCAATACTAAAAGAGATTCTACTATTGGTATAGTTTTGTAATATTATTAACTTTAGGAAAACATTTATGTATAATCCATATAGAAATATGAAGCTGTCCTACACTATTACTTCATAATAAAATGTATATTAATATATTGATGTATTACTTTCTACATGGATCTTTCTACATGGATCTTACTTAATTGTCTTCCTGATCTTGTAATAAATGTGTAGGAATGTTGGTATATTGATTTATTTTTTTCTTATAATTTTCTAATTTTCTAATTTTATAATTGTAGAAGAATCTTTAAAAACCTACCAACTTTTGGAAGCTCTTCGATCAGGTATTTTCTCAAACTATATATATATATATATATATATATTACTTTTTGGTGGTAATTAGTGGCTTTTGAAGAAAAATCAAATTCTATTCTGTTTCTTGGGATTTGATTATATCTATGTAGATCGTCAGATCAAAAGCTCTAAGATGAATGAATTAAGGTTCTCGATTCTATTGATCAAATAATTGTAACAATTTCTGTTAATTATGTTAATTATGTCAATGTATTTCTGCAATTTATTTTATATGTATATATTATTTTTTTTTGCAATCATATTATATAATATATTTATTAGGAGATACAACTGTACTTTCATCACTTTTGTCCAACTATAATCTACCAGCATTGGCATCACCTAATTCACTTTCTGGAGAAATTAATCATGTTATACCACCTTCACCCCTTACATTTGCTGTTCAATGTGCAACAATGGCCACTATTGAATTTATCATTACAAATTATTCTCATATGATTGAGTTAACGCAACTATCCATTGTTTTGCTTCACTGGGATTATT